TTGTGGTTTAACGGCAAAATACAGCGAATTCTAGCCCTTGAAAGTTGTAGGTTTGGAAGATCAATACGGCTGCTTTAATTCTTAAAATTCTTAAGTTAGAACGGCCAAAACACCCTACTCGGCGTCAGTCAACTGCACCCAGAAACCCTGACCGGATGGGGCTTAAATTTGAAAGTAAAAGAGTTAGAGACTTCCGGTTTTTTGTAACATGTTCCTCTTTTAAAAGTAACGTTACCTCTCCAGGAGGAAAATTCAAGACAACGTAATTGTTGAGTTATCTCAAAATCTCCAGAAAAGTCCCCTTTCAGGCCGATCAAAAGTTTGCAACTTTAACTTTGCGGATTCCTGTACTCTGGTTGGCTGAATTGTGTCACGTGGTAGCTGCCTGAACATTGGAATACGCCACGCGTGCAAATCATGCTTGTTGTTGCGCGCGAGGTGAAGCCGTCTGTTTAAATTAAACCAACTCTAGTACCACCACCAGCCGGTAACTTTTCCTGGGTTTTACTGATTGCACGTTTGACGCATTTTTAGCTTCACCTAACATATTCAATCAATCAGAAGACAAATATTGCATTGGCAAATGCACACTTTTATTTTCAATTTTGCCCAAAATAAAACTTTTTGGAATAAAATAAAACAAAATTTACGAATGACAAAGTAAAGGTCTTGCTCTATCCAGAGCCCTTGCGCTTGCAGTAGCGCGCGCCCGCCTCACGGCGGTAAAAAGGGCTCTAGCCATGAACCCACCCAACGATTTTGGCACCACTCTACAGTGGTGCCAAAATTTCCCGCGCTTCTGTCCTCATATGCTTGTATCACGTGGTGACCCCCACGGTCGCTTCACTATAGTAGCGACGCTACTATAGTAGCGACGCTACAGGGGGAGCCGCGCACTTCGTGCGCGGCGGGTCATACAACGTATGACAATCATATGCTACGTTTGTAGCCTTTCAGACATTGATTGCGTAAACGAGGTGTCGTACGTCACCTCAAGATCAGGTGACATGGGGCTGACCATACCCGAACCTAATTGATCATTGATTGGGTCTGAGGTCACTAAGTCACTTAATTATGAGCTTATGAGGTCACGTGACTATGACGTCACCCGACCTTGTCCTCCGTTTCCCGCTCATTGGACCAGGTGAGCTTGCATGCTTGTGAATGTAGGTGTAAGTACAGCTGTACTGTAGTTTATACCTAATTAACCCTTATACACATGTCACTATGCACGATAGAAACCTGAAAAGTGGTTATACTGCATACTGGAGGGAGAAGTGCCAAGACTACCTGTGCTACATAGACGCTGTTGTCAGCACTGCGCACGCGCGCACGAACCTTCCCATCGGGGTTCATGGATAGGTGCTTTTCTTGACTTGTGAAACAAGCGCGCCCGAAGTGGCGCGAAAGCACATGGTTAGGTGAATAAAGGTCCGAAAGTTGTAGCGCGATGCACTACTTGTCATACGTTGTATGACCCGCCGCGCACGAAGTGCGCGGCTCCCCTGTATCGTCAGGACCTGTATCGTCAGGACCATAGTGAAACGACCGTGGGGGTCGCAACGTGATACAATGCACTACTGGGTCGCGCCGCGCATCAAATAATTCTTCTCGCAACCACAGCGATAGATCGGCGGGATGCACAACAGTGTCTCACCGAGCTGCGAAGGATTGACATCGTGAATCAAGTCCGAAAGTTCCCAATTTTGTTTTTATTGTGGAGCTAACGTCATTTTAACAAAACGAAAATTGTGCTTAGGTCGATATTAATTTTGCTTTTGGAGACTAACTAGACATTAGCCTGGCGGCATTGTTTCTGAAAAGGTTTTGTCCGATAGTCTAGTAAACTACAAATTATAATGTATAGTCATTTGCTTTATCCAGAGCCCTCGCGCTAATTGCAGTGGCGCGATCGACAAAGCACATGGTTAGGTGAATATAGTTGTCCATTGTTAATGGACTAGCCCGGCGCGCGCAATTTCGTAGCACTTGCCTCGCGCGGGGGCCATTTTGAGAGGAAAGCGGCGCGCGCTATAGCTACTTCGAAGAAATTTTTGATTGACGGTGTCAACCCATCGAGATCGTTGCTCGACGATCGACGATGCGAGGCAAAAATGCTAGTTTGCGCGGCGCGTCGAAGCGGCAAAGTACTCCAAAAGAAATTTAGACGAGATATGTCCGTCAAAATGTACGTATAGTAGTACATTTTTAAAATCTTCGCTCCAACGCGATTGACGATACGTCAATTACCCTTCCAGATGTTTATAATTATATAATATTTAAACTGTAATGTGTAAAGTGTAAGTAGTACGATCGACGTAAGCTTTTCCACAGAAACTAACTGAAACAAATAAATTATATTTTTATACCTCCGGTATTTTCGATCCAGAGCACAGAGGAAGCTTTTACCTTTTTGCTGTTCACTTTTACTTTGAATTTATGAAGACAGCATGATCAATGATTTTTGTGTAACAGCGATTCTTCTTAGTTGAGAAACTTATTACTAATATAATATCAACCATTGTCCTAGGCCGGGTAACCCGCAGCAAGGAACGTCTACGTCTGAAACGCAAGCTGCTTTTTCTTTATGTGAGTGAGGTGTTCTAAGTTCTTTGATTCTTTCTTGGGAGTTGATGATTCTTTTAAGTCTAATGCATTGCGAGTACAAAATACCAAAATTATTAATATAATATGATTGGGATGGGAGGTAGGTATTAACGGGTGATACTCGTAAAATATTTGTTCCATATATTATTAGGACCGTCGACGAGTCCAACTCGGCGTGCGTCCTGGTAGGTTATAAACCTACAAGGTAGGTATGAGGTGTATTCATTTCATTTCATTTCATTTCATTTCATTTCATTTCATTTCATTTCATTTCATTTCATTTCATTTCATTCCATTCCATTTCATTTCATTTCATTTCATTTCATTTCATTTCATTTCATTTCATTTCATTTCATTTCATTTCATTCCATTCCATTTCATTTCATTTCATTTCATTTCATTTCATTTCATTTCATTTCATTTCATTTCATTTCATTTCATTTCATTTCATTTCATTTCATTTCATTTCATTTCATTTCATTTCATTTCATTTCATTTCATTTCATTTCATTTCATTTCATTTCATTTCATTTCATTTCATTTCATTTCATTTCATTTCATTTCATTTCATTTCATTTCATTTCATTTCATTTCATTTCATTTCATTTCATTTCATTTCATTTCATTTCATTTCATTTCATTTCATTTCATTTCATTTCATTTCATTTCATTTCATTTCATTTCATTTCATTTCATTTCATTTCATTTCATTTCATTTCATTTCATTTCATTTCATTTCATTTCATTTCATTTCATTTCATTTCATTTCATTTCATTTCATTTCATTTCATTTCATTTCATTTCATTTCATTTCATTTCATTTCATTTCATTTCATTTCATTTCATTTCATTTCATTTCATTTCATTTCATTTCATTTCATTTCATTTCATTTCATTTCATTTCATTTCATTTCATTTCATTTCATTTCATTTCATTTCATTTCATTTCATTTCATTTCATTTCATTTCATTTCATTTCATTTCATTTCATTTCATTTCATTTCATTTCATTTCATTTCATTTCATTTCATTTCATTTCATTTCATTTCATTTCATTTCATTTCATTTCATTTCATTTCATTTCATTTCATTTCATTTCATTTCATTTCATTTCATTTCATTTCATTTCATTTCATTTCATTTCATTTCATTTCATTTCATTTCATTTCATTTCATTTCATTTCATTTCATTTCATTTCATTTCATTTCATTTCATTTCATTTCATTTCATTTCATTTCATTTCATTTCATTTCATTTCATTTCATTTCATTTCATTTCATTTCATTTCATTTCATTTCATTTCATTTCATTTCATTTCATTTCATTTCATTTCATTTCATTTCATTTCATTTCATTTCATTTCATTTCATTTCATTTCATTTCATTTCATTTCATTAATATCCGACCTTTTTAGGCGACCGTTTTAGTATCATTATGTTTCCTTAATGTTTTTAGGGCAGATAAAGTTTAATATATATAAATACTTATAACATAATATATACATACATGATACATACATAAATAGATTACATATATTGGCATTGTCAATCTCAAATTTCGAGCAACAAGTTTACCTTTTTACAGTCAAGTCAAAAATCATACGACAAGAAAACCTAGCCTTCAAATTGCTCATTTGATCATGTAGCAGTTTATAATTTTGTAGGTTTATAACCTACCATAGGACGGTCCAAATATTTTACGAGTATCACCGGCCATTAACTTATAATTATAATTATAAATATGGTTCAATACTTTATTTTAAGTCAATATTGGTGCTACCTTAAGAACGACAAATTTATTCTACGACAAATTTAGTCAAAATTTAGACTAAAATTGCTGTAAACTGCAAACCAAATTTATTGAGACTATATTTTTTGGCGACTAATCACCTTTCCTTCTGCTGAACTTGACTATTGGTATTACACGTGTAATCCACTGCTTTTATGCTTTCGTGTTTCACATTATCATATTCATACTTCCTTTTCCCATCAGGCAGTATCTGTATCTAGTTTTACTCCTTTACTTGAAGTAATTATGTATGTGAAACGCCCCTTCTATGATTTAGCCTTTAGGATTCAGCCTTTATTTCTTTATTGTAACAAATCATTCAATCAACATACCTGACGTTAAACTTTAAAGTATGAATTTATGTGCGAAATCGAAAAAAAACTAGCCAAATAATATTGGGAAAATCAAATATGAAATAGATGGAATGAAAAATGGTCTCGAAAAGTCGAAAAATGTGACTAAAATTGTTGTAGACTAAAAATTGGTGACTAAAATGATGGGCATATACCGACAGTTGCGCCCATTTCCCGTGCACCTTAACAGCCATTAAGAGGTTCCCGATCAGTGGCGTGATCTGATTCGTCAGATTCTCAAAACGACAGTTACGCCCAAGGATCACATAATGTCAAGTGATCCTTGTGGATATTTTATGCTCAGAATATTGAAAAATGTATTATGTTAAACTTGTTTGATTTATGGGATTGCAACTAATAGTATTATTGTAACACAGAAACAATAGTCTACAAGTATAATTTGGCTCTAAGTCTCCATGATATTAAGCTCACAAAACAGGAAATTAAGATTGATTGGGGTTTTTTAATTGGTTTTAATTCGTCATCTTCTCACGGTAGCTAGATCTAAATTGGGCGCAACTGTCCGGCAGCCAAACTATTGCAACCAACATTTTTGTAACAAAATTTATTGTGAACCAAATTCATTGTCCTTAAGGTAGTCAATAAGTTTAAATTTTATAAACCAGTCCTCAACCTCTCCCAAACCCACCGTCCAACCTCCCGACTCAGCTCATTTCTAGACATCACATTACTCTTGTAAGAATTATAAGATGGCGACGAATTGGCTCCTTTTGCTGGTTCTTTCTTCTTTCGGTTAAGATTAATGCTTTTCCACGCCTGATAAGCTTTCAATCTTCTGTGGAACTCTTCTCTTGCTTCCTCTGTGGATCCTTCGTCTGAAATCACCGGTTTTTATATGTTGACATTCCATGTTGACATACGTAACAAGTTTGGTCACGGATAATGATTTAAAGAACATAATATCGTCATTTTTTGCGACATGTTGTCATAATGAGATTTTTTGTCATGATAACATCATTGTCACCAGGTTTGTCCACCGTGGTTCAAGTGATCGGCGGCGGCGTTGACCGAAATTATAATGCCGGCGGCGGCGTGCGGCGGCGTGAAATTAATGTCAAGTAAATTCCGGTTTATCGCGCAGTTAACTTCATTGACAGTTCATGCTGAATGCTGGCGTAACGAACCAAATTAGTTTTTCTATTCAGTTAGCTGTGTTTAAAAACAAAATTGATACACAATTATTTTTAAAGTTTAAAAGAAAATAATATAAAAAGTGCAATGAATCCGAGTACATTTTCTTGGCAACAAAATCGTAATTTTTTGGACCAGAATAATGGGTACTCAAAGTTTTTGGGAGGAATGAAGCGTAAAAATTTGAAATTTTTACGCCGGGGTGTATTGGCGGACAAGCCCGATTGTCACGGGAGCAACACGAATTGTCATGGTAACAACCTGTTTGTAAAATATTTGATAAACGAAGTAAAAGCTGGTATAACTTACATTTGGATGAGTTGATACAGTCTTTCAATTCAGAGTACTTCCAATCCGTGATTTTTATGTCTTTGCTGATAACAAATTTCAAACGGTTTTATGAAAATACTCAAAGGTACCCCAGAAAACTGATAGAGATCTAAATTGTTCAGCAAAACTCTACAAACTCCAAAAATGATCCGAATTATTCCATTAAACCCCAAAGATAGCGTGATCTAGTTCTTTAATCCCGTAAACCAGTACTAATGGTTCGATAATCTTAATACTGTTGTTGAAAACCAAGCTATAATGTTTTTGTTCAATCTCTGTTAATTACGAATAATTGTACCTTTCCAAACTTCTTGATCGCTCTAATCGTTCTCTCTCTATCTCCATACGCTTTCTTTCCTCCTCATCTCTCTTCTTGCGTTCTTCAAACTCTACCCATCTCTTCTCCTCCAACTCCTTCTTTCTGGTGTAAGGAACTTAAATTAATTGGTGTCACGATAAAAACAGTCAATCAAATGTTGCTTTGGTAACAACAGCAATCAATATGTTGTTATGGAAATAGCTGTCACTAACATGCGTCGTTCTTCAGCCTGTTTCTCCTCTTCCTCTGGCTGTCTAAATCTCTCATCTTCCATTTTATCCTTTTCTACCTCAATCTGTCAGAGGTCTGCTGCCGCTGCACCTGGCGAGAAATCAAATATCTCAGAGAACCATTTTGGAGGGACTATAAAAGTCTAAACAGTGAGCGGGTAATAGTATAAAATTGAACAGCCCTATAATATATGGGCAGTAGTTTGATTAACTTGATTTTACGTTAATTAAATGGCAACGTAAACTTTCATAGGATCGGTTAGGCTTCTAGTGGATACTCCCGTCTAGAAATATTAGATCTGTTAATGAAACATAATTTAGACTTAATATAATTAGGAGTTAGAAACATAAACAATGAGCCGACCAAATTTTGAGTAACATTAAGCAAATTGTTCAAATAAGGGGCCTTTCATAAAAAAAGCTTCTAAGTTTGAAGTTATGTTTAGATAATATTTGCTTAACATTATATGTGCATTATAATATGTTCACATACTATTGATATTCAACTTGCAACACTAAAGTTACGAGTTTATGAGACTATTCAGTATTCACTAACATTTAACAAACGTACAAACAAACGTACTGACTTGACTCTGATTAGTCCCTGGTGAGTAATGAGGATCTATCAGTCAGATCGATAAAAACCTGTCAAATCAAAAACAAGTAGAGGTGTATATTTTCAAACAAAAGATGAGCACTTTTACGGATGAGGGATAGTATCGTTGGTTGAAATACCTCAAATTAATTATGTTAGAAAGGTGATGAAAGAAATGAAACAACGTACGGATGGAATGTGTGTTAGGGATCACAACAACTAATTGTGACGTCTGTACCACGTGAGGTTGTAAAATCTTCGCTAAGCTGTGTAATTAAGGTACCACGACTATTTGCTAATGACGAACTAGACAGGAAATCACGCAATATTGCGTGGTTTGACGTGACGTTGTTCTTACGGTAAGTTAGCTGTGCAAATGTTACTAGGTTTCAGAGCTGCATGCCTGGGAGACATGGAAATTGGAGAGTGGCTTCCCTAGTTGCCCAGCCCTAGGTTTCAACCCGAGGTTTCGATGTGGAAATTAACGTCAACTATTTAACTAACAAGACGTTATACACAAAGTAGAGTAATAGTATGCAATATGCATCAATATTTTACCATGTCCAATAGAAGTTTAATTTGGTTCCCCGTCTACTCTGAGCTGTTTAAGTCTGCGAAATCTTCTCCAACATTGTAGTTGTACTTCTGTACAAGGACCCTTTTTCGTACCTGTAAACTCACCAAGCTCAATTCGTTCAGATGTCTTAGAGCTTCAAAATGGAAAGGAAACCTACAAAAGTCGGGGTACGTCACATTTTAGGAAACCATACTCAACCATGCTTTTCAAAATCTCGCTGCGGAAGATCTATCTTAATACAGACCTGACAGATCAAGGTTCTGTGCGTGTAAAAAATGCTTTACATCTATTTTTATACTCATGTATCATCGGGTCATTAAGTAAAGTGTTAGACGTGTTTGAAGCTATAATTCTACAAAGTACATTTTGGACTTGCACAAGTTTCATTACATAAATTTCTCATTTTTCTATATCTTACCTTGAATTAAGAATAAAATAGATTGAAATCGCAATGGCAAGCTATGTTAATACAGAGATAAGCCGGTTCTTTTCGGTAACCGGAGGCAGCTTAACTTCCAAAACTAGATACATTTTGGAACCAGTCATTTTTATATACCTTTATATATTCTACTTCGACCCGAACCTATACAGTGAACTGATTAATTTAATTAATTAATTAATTTAATCATACTTATGACTTTCTTATAACTTTCTCTGGACAAAATTAAGCAAATATAAATGTACAATCTTTCTTGAAAGGAAAAAGTAGCTTCCAGCTAGCTGAATTAACTATAAGTGTCAAAGTTAAACGCAAAACGTTTAGGCGATAATTTTAATACACATGGAACTATTGAAGGATTTAAAGACTGAACAATCCTTCACCCACGTTATCATCTCGCTAGAAAATGGTTCGGTTTCTTCAACCTTGTCAGCTTGCACAGGAAATGTTAAATTGTTACTTGCAGCGGCCATATCAGAGCCATAAGCTTTCAAAATTCGAACCTACGGAAAAAAAACTTTTAAGAAATGCAACCGCATTTCTTGTTGAGTGTTTAAGTTCCATGTTCATTCAAAAAACGTTTTCATTGATATAACAAGGAAAATTAAAATTTCTGTGCAACAAAGATTCAAGCTTAATTTTTACAATTGCATTGAAATAGAAAAATAACAAATATTGATTTAAATGCCTTAAAGTGTAACAGCGCCATGAAGTAAAGGGGACATGGTAGGAAGATGATCAAAATTTTTGCCACAAAAACTAAGAGAACATTTAATACAAGCATTTTAGACCATATGGTAACATCTTCATTCGACTTAAAATCAGCATTTACTTTGTATATTTTACGTTGCTAGTCGCGATCATTGTGAACATTTAACAGCCTCTGAGCCTCTGATCTTAGAAGTTAGGCTCAATATGCTATTTCTGGCTCGATCTTTTGAGCAATAATATTGATCATCTTCCTACCAATGCACATAATAATCCTCAACAATTTTTTAGCCTTATACCAATAGATTATAAAATTAATAAAATAAATCCAGCGATTAACCAACCAAACATTAGCCCAATTATCAATAAAACTTTCAGAACATTCTTCCTCAAATTATCTTTCGCAGAATGTATGCCCTCCCGGGCCTTAAAGAAATATTTAACGTGTCCCTCATGGAGTGCTTCTTCCAGAAGACTCTCATCTGACTCGTCTGTCTCTCTCACCAGGCAGGCCTCCTCCTCTAACTGAGGTGCGATGGAGCTCTTCACTCTCACTTGTGCCTCACAAACCTCCTTTGCCAGGTCCAGTCTAGTTATCCTCAGTCCACAGACGATGCAGCTCAAAGCTACAAACAGGAGCATCCCGTACAGAACTCCTATCCCGTTTAGAGAAGTGAGGAAGATGAAGCAAGCAATGGCTGGTGTACAGATAACGTAGCAGATGATAGCTAGAGCTGATGCCACGAACACTTGAGAGCCCACTGTCACCAGGATCCCGTAGGAGAAAAGGCTCTGGATATGGTCTAGGGGAACCTCAATTAGCAGGATCCAGAGCATGCCTGCTGTCTCATTGATCACAGAAATGTCGTCTGTGAAGAGGCCCACAAGTTCAAATCTAAAGTAGTAACCTAGGACTGCTAAAAGTGTACTCTCAATGACCGTGTTGCCTAGACACAGTTTCATGTACCTCTTCACCTTCGGATAGTCCCCCTCACCCAGGGCTGTCCCTATCATGGCTGCAGCAGCGTAACAGACACCGTAGGTAGTGGAGTAGATCAAGGTGATTATCTGGAAGGAGATAACCACAGTGGATAGATAGTTAACCCCACGGAACTGACTGAGGAACATGGCAAACTCGTACATGCCCATCTCCGAGAAGACGTTGATAGAGGCGGATATTCCCAGTACTATCATCTCTTTCCAGTCATTAAGGATACCTGTAGTGAAGCCAGCCCAGGCCAGCTTCTTCCTCCTGAAGCAGCAATAGAGGAGCAGTATGGCGAGGCTGATGACCCTGCTGAGAGTACCCCCGATAACCAGTCCTTGTAGACCCATATCAAGTCTGATGGTGAAGAAATGTGTCAAGATGACGTGGAGGGTTATGAGAATGCCAGTGCAACAGTACACAGCAGTAGAGTGGTACTGTAGACTCAGATACTTGGTAACCAGTCTCATGGAGAAGTCTAGTATTCCCCAGGACCAGGTGCTAGTGATGAACTCCTCAGCTGTGTCCTGCATGTCGGAGAACCTTTCTAGGGGGCTCACACTTTCTGTTAGATTGTGTTTGCCAAGCTGGTTGGTGATGGTCACTATGACCCAACTTATGACTTTCAGAGACTTCATGTAAGGCCCTAGTACTATAAGGTAGACTGTGAAGCTTATTAGAAATACCTTCTGAACAACAGTGCCTAATTGCTTGTATGTGGTGGGATTACCATAAACCTGAGGGCCGTACGTGCTCAGCAGAGAGCAGAACCCGCACATGACACTCATCAGGAATATGTTGTAGGTGGTGTTACCAAGTGCTACCCCTGCTAGCAGTTCCTTGTTCTGCCACCCTGCAAACATGATCGAGACGAAGGAGAGACCGAATGGGGACACTATCAGCATGCAAGTTGGGGCAGCATAGGCTAGAAACCTCTTCTGGTCTTGTAGAAGAGAGTCCTCCTTCTCTGATCCATTCTTTTCCGTTCTCGTCATGTTGTTGACTTGGCTGGAATATTGGGGGTGGTAATGAGTGTCGTCAGAGGGTAATTATAGCAATAATATTATTTGTGATAAACACTTAAATTAAGCTGTAGAATTGTGTTTGGTTATCGGAAAAAAAGTCCCAATCACATAGCGAATGGGATATGTCTTTTCGACGAATCTAATACACTGACATGGAAAATTGGAAATTGTATTACTTCAATGAAATGACCAAAATGTAAATGTTTTCTGAACCCAGACTATACTCTCACAGGCCTGTCGACGCAACCAAAACGTAAACAAACCATGAAATGGACTGCTTTGATGCGACAGGCAGTATCAAACGGATGTGACTGTATATTTAATAAACTGAAAAATGGATATCAAATGCTTATTATTCAACTATAATAGGGATCGATATAAACAAGACTTTGATTAATCTGTCAAAATTAAACAGTATTTGAGCTGCTGAACTTCAGTACCGGCTCGTATTGATAAAGCGCCGATCTTAACAGTTCAATTAGAGTGACGATCATTGTAACTTAAAGACTGGGGCAGCTATCACCTAACTGCCAATATACATATGTCTTGGCTAGTATGTTAGACTACAAGTTGCACGTGGAGATTCTCCACTGGAGAACTACAAGTTCCACGTGCAGAACTACAAGTTACAGGTGCAGTTAGTCATGTCACGTGCAGTTAGTCATGTCACGTGCAGTTAGTCATGTCACGTGCAGTTAGTCATGTCACGTGGTGTGCTGAGCAGGAAGATACAACCTCAATATTTGTGGGAATTGTTTCTTGTAGTCTCGGTTATCAATTATCATGTTCCTGCTAGTCAATGAAGACTTCTAAATCATGGGCTAATCTAAGTTGCAATTTGGCAATTTTACGTTAAAAACAATATCAAACGACTACAGATTAAGTGGTAGATGTGTGGTAAGAGGGATACCCATAAACAGGTATTTCTAAACCGGTACTGTGCCGCCATAATAGTGGAACAATTAGCACACTGCACCTCGCCAGACTAGGAAACAGGAGTGCAGTGATTTGAAGTAAAGGAATCGTGATAAATAGAAATAAAATGCAAGGGAATACACTTTGAACAAATGTTGGATAAGTTATTCATTAAGATCTTAATTGGCTGAAATATTGCGATATAATTGAGTTCATATATTGTGTCAGTGCATTGAAACAATTTAGCACTTTGCACCTCATGGACAAGGAAACTGGAGTGCTGAGATTGGTGGTAAAGTATAACAGGTACCGTGCTAATTAGAAATGGAATACAAGGTAAAGTAAAAGGTAAAGTATTGTCAATTAAACTTGGCTTCTGAGATCGACTAGTCCAGTTCGTGCAATTCAGAAACGTATGGCCTTTTTGGGGTAGTTAAAGCTTGAAGTATTAATAAAATTAAAGTCGATAACATTTCGATTATAGTTATAATTCAGATCATAATTGGCAAAATAGTAAAAGTTTAGTCAGGTTATCATTGATTCAGCGTGAGTGGATTTTCATGACGAAAGACAAATAATAACAGAAAATCAATTAATTTTTTTTCGTTTCCATTGACTTCAGCACAATGTGTTCAACCATTTCCTCCTTCATTCAAATATGATTCGACAGAAACGATTAAAAGAACAAAGGCGAGAAAATACTATTTGTTTCTGAGTAATGATTCACGCTCGAATATAAAGAAAAGGTCGAAAGATCGAGGCTAGAAATATGAGAGGATTCACAGTGTGCATCACGGTATTGAATAACCTCAGTCACACCTATATTTGAGCCCTTCATTTGAAATGGCTTTGACCAGGTTAAATAACCAAACGTTACTTACGTTTAACTTACGTTTTACAAAATTCTCCATGGTTATTATCCTAATGGGGTTTAAAACTATTTAATAATCATGTTAAACTCAACTCAAACCGGACTCAGTTTTAAGATCAAACTGGACACCAATGTCAGACTTGACTTGCTAATTATGATGGCGCTCGAAAGCAGCAAATATCCCCTAATCGTTTATTTGCGTAATTCACAAACGTAGTTAAATCTTTCGAGTTCAACAACTATACGCTTCAAATGTATCAATAATTTATAATGAATCATAATTACATCGCTAAGTAGAACCCGCCTCAAATAACACAATAAAGCCTACAATCTGATGACCACGTGTCCACGCAGAAATCTCCTTACATAAAGAATCTTGTCATCAATGACTATCTGATAACAGTATTATCTAACAAGGAAGAATAATAAAGGAATCAGCAAATCAATATTACCAGCGTGGAAGCGTGACAGTATCTAAACGGTTTATGTAACACATTTTCACAAAAGGTTGTTTGTATGGCAGGCATACAATGAATACACTTACAAGGAATACACGGTTAATCGAGAAAGCTGACACTAATATTATAATCAATAAAAGATAATGATTTCGAAGACCTTAGGAAGAGGAGGAGGAGGAGGAGGAGGAGGAGGAGGAGGAGGAGGAGGAGGAGGAGGAGGAGGAGGAGGAGGAGGAGGAGGAGGAGGAGGAGGAGGAGGAGGAGGAGGAGGAGGAGGAGGAGGAGGAGGAGGAGGAGGAGGAGGAGGAGGAGGAGGAGGGGAGGAGGAGGAGGAGGAGGAGGAGGAGGAGGAGGAGGAGGAGGAGGAGGAGGAGGAGGAGGTAGACAGTACAAGCAAAGTAACGTCGCAAAATAAAAAGACAGTATGATTATGAGCTAACAAGTACCAGCAGTGTGTCATTTGTCGCGAAAGTAAGGTTTATCCTCCCCCAACAATAGTGAACTAAGGATGAGCTGCAAGATTACAGTCTCCAACTATTCATTATTCTACTACTTTAAGGGACCCGCCCCTGCTAACAGCTTGCTAAACAACCTTCTCCCAGATCAATGACCGACAGCCTCTTTAAGAGCCTGCTTCTTCATAACTTCCTACCGAGGGCAGACTAGTCCCTCATTGTTGTCTTTCACCTTTTATAGCTGTATGAGCGCCAAAGGTTAACAAATAGGCCGAGTAAACAAATATATCACCAATCGAATTGATAATTAGTCTACAGAGACTATCTGATTATCATTACAGTGATTACCTACAGACTATTGGGAACACAATAAGAAACTTCCTCCGTGGTAGCCACTGGTCACCAGCAGTGACAGAGCTAACCAAGTGGTAAATCCGACAGGCATCGTAAACTTTGGCAGGCTGCATATTTATAAGGAAAATAAACAGAAAAGGGAGACTTTCTCCTTTAGTTACTAGTAGGGTGTCAGAACAGAAGCTGCTAGGTATACTAAAATGTTGAATCAAATCATTAGTAGTAATCCAAACTTTTTCTAACAACCAAGTGATCATCACACGATAGGACCCATTTCATCAAATAAATTGTGAAGAAACGCTGTGCAACTGTAACAAATAGTTTAATGTTTTTTCTTTATTACGCAATAATAAAGAAGAAAATGTTTCTTAATTTCGTTTTCATGATCTTTACTCTATAGCTCAGTTCCTTTTCTTTCAAACTTCAAAGTAGATCCATGTAACATACGAGAAAGAAATTTAAAGAATGCGAAGATTTGCATACTGTACGTCATAGTTTATTTTGGGAAAACACAAACAGTTTCGGCTCTTGCAATAAATTATCCGAAATGTTTCACTGATACGAGAGCAAACCGAGAAATAACTGACTGAAAGCTGAAATGAGTTAACCAAACAATACCTACTCTTGGCCTTGCAACGCTAGCCCTTAAATTTCGAGCTCCACTTTCAATGGGATTATGTTTTAATATTTCCACAGGTTACAAAACTTACCTAGTTTTGATCTTGCTACAAAACTAGACATTGCAGTCAGGGACAAAAGGAAATCGCGGCATGTACGGAATCGCGATTTTTTCCATTATTTGCGACAAATTTTATGTATAGTTTAATATACCGCGATATGTAATTCGCGGTATCGCGATTTTTGGCCAAAATAATCGCGAAATCCTTTTGTCCCTGATTGCAGTTGTAAAATGTAACTAGCAAATTCTAATGACCATCTGACAGGTTTTTGTAAGGGGATCTTAAAATTAAGGGGCCAGTATTTGCAGGGAGTGGTGAAGGTTAGTAGACACAATCTCACACAGGTGGCACCTTCACTGGTAGACAGTAGATTTAAAGATAGGTCAAACAAGACTGGTGATATTGGGAGACTTTCACACGGTTATGCAGTGACGGAGATAAAATTCAGTTAACAAATTACCAAGACGAATTAATTTGGTGACCAGTCACAAAAATATGCTTGCTGAGAAGCAGTTAAAGATAAAGCACTGTTACTTCAGTACATCTCAAAATAGAGTTTTTGTGAATCCAATCCACTGCAGCAGAGATAAAAGAGTTTAAGACTTAAGACTGACAAGTTTCTGCCTTAGAAAGCAAGCTTGACCAGTAATTCCACTGTAAATCAACTTATCAACACTATCTTGTAACAAAATGTTATATTATTAAGAAGCTGTGAGGATCGCACTGCAAAGTTGCTGATACTAACTGCTTCAAGTCTAGACAATTTAGAGGCCCATTAAATAGTATTCGTCGTAGTTTGGAATTATGGCGAATTTAAACCTTGGTCTGGTGTCTGGGTTTACTGAATTAAATAAAATCATTAAAATTGTTTACCTCTGTATACTAAACTTCCTGCTAAATATAATTATTTTAGTATAAGCTATTACCAAAACATCTGTTACCAAGGTATCTGTTACCAAGGTATCTGTTACCAAGGTATCTGTTACCAAGGTATCTGTTACCAAGGTATATGTTACCAAGGTATCTGTTACCAATGTATCTGTTACCAAGGTATCTGTTACTAAGGTATCTGTTACCAAGGCATTTGAAGGTTTTTATCGTGACAACACCTTACAAGACTCTGTAACATTACACAACGACGAGTTGTGGCAGGTAATCTGGTAATGTGCGTGTATTTTATCGGAAAATTAGTATTCAGTGTTTGTATTCTACCTAAAGCCTTACCCATGTGATGAGG